TGCTCTTCAGAGGCTATTTCTGAAACTATGCATTCTTAAAACTGAAATATTTCTACCTGAAACAGTCATATATAGGTAAATTTATTGCACAATTCTTGGTATGATCCAAAAGGAATATTCTCCCTATGGCTGCTACTCCCTATGAAAAAGCAAAAAAACCCTTTGGGGTTCTACAGCTGCAAGACAGATTTGCATAGAGAGATAGGTGAGGCTTATTGCAGGCTTTTTGGCAACACCTTCTTTAACAAAAAAAAAAAAAAAAAAAAAAAAAAAAAAAAAAAAAAAAAAAAAAAAAAAAAAAAAAAAAAAAAAAAAAAAAAAAAAAAAAAAAAAAAAAAAAAAAAAAAAAAAAAAAAAAAAAAAAAAAAACAAAAAAAAAAAAAAAAAAAAAAAAAAAAAAAAAACAAAAAAAAACACTAAACTAATCTTCAGAGATGGTCATTTCACTCACTCTTCTTTGGAAGTGGTTCCGAGAACAAAATTTCTGGTGAAAATAGAGGGGGAAAACCAATTTCAGAGCAGTGAGGCTGGGGCTGGGAATGTACCTACCTATGTTTCACTCTGATTAAGGATTTTACCTCTAGGCAAATTCCCTGATCATGTATCATGAGCTACTCTGGAGGAAAGAAGGGAAGCAGTGAGAAGGAATGAAAGGCAAAGAGCCAAAGAGACAGTTTCTCAATCTCTTTGTCTAAAAGTGTGTCACCCCATACAAATAATTTAATATTCATCAGCACACAGGCTCAACCCTAAGTCCTCTGCATTTCTCATTCAGCCCTGACTGATATTATGGAGTCTGCAAAATTCATACGCAAATATTCCTTAAACCAGCTGAAGTGGAATAAGTTTTATAAAGGGAAAAAAACCAACCAAACCACCAAAAAACTTACCATGTCCTACTTGTTAGGAAATGTATAACCTAATAACTTAATAATCTCTGAACTCAAGTGCTTGGACGAAAGGAAAAAACTAAACACACTTGTCTTCCCTCATCAGCAAGGCTTATAACTGTCTATTGCAGGATGGCTACATTTCCTTTGCACCTTTTTTTGTATGCCCCAATGTTGGACAAGGATAGCTCCAAACTCTTGAAGACACCTCTATAAAAAGAGTCTGGTTGCAAGCTTTCGGAAACACTTTCTTTAATTGAGTCTCTTTATTTTCCCATCAAGATAGCATTTTACTCTATCAGTATTGCTATTTCATACTCTTATTTTAGTAGCTTTAAAAGGTTGTTCAAAGATTTGAGCAACAAGGTAACAACTAGACACAGCCATGTTAACACTGGTGTATAATAAATAAATCAAGTCTGCCAAGAAGCAACCTCAAACCAATGGTAAATAGTAAGAATCTTATTAATGTCAGACAGTTGTGGCCAGCAGGCAGCAAGGAAAAGAATAATAAAGCAAAACAAAATTCAGGAAATCCTCAACTAGTAAGAACTGTATCTCTGGAGACCAAGTTGTTCTGGAAGGTGTCAATATCATTAGCTTACTTGTAGTTCTAAGTATTTTTCTCTTTTTACTCATCATCTTAACTTTCTTATACCCAACAGATGAACTTACTGAAAGACCACATATTCTGTCTTCAGGACATGTCCTGCCACACCATTGCAGGTATTTCAAGACACATATGTGAAGGCTCTTTTTTTTTAGATTTTTCTTAAGCTACATAAAAGACCTATGAGACTTGCAAGAGCAAATAATAATGCAGCTTTACACTGAAACTGCCACTCTAGGTTTCCATACTCAAACAGCATGTCAGCAGTAGCTCTGAGTAGGTGCCCAGCAGAATGGTATGAAACAAGGCAGGCCTAGAGTACTTGGGTTCCTTTTGGGTTTTTCCTGTTGTTTTTTACTTTTATTGATAGTTTTCAGTTTTAAAACTTATTAATCCAGGTGTCCCTCTGTCTGTTCAGTCACCCTCAATGGACCGATGGACATGTTTATTCCCTCTTTTAGATCATGTAAACTTTTAATAGTTAGAAGTGTGCTAGCACAATACAAACTTCTAGATATCAGGAACTTAATGGCCAATGCAACACCAGTAGTGTTCAGATTCCTCTCCTTTCTCAGTTCAAATCAGCTCATTTATCTGTCTGGAATTTACTTCATAATCTCTGCAGAAAGGCAATCTTTACAACACAGTTCTCAGAAAAGCAAGATTTCTTTAAAAATATACCAGATGAAAGTTATTGAAAAATAAAACTAAGGGGAGAATACCCTCGGATTTAGCTACGAAAGCTACATGCCACTTTCACCACAAGCTACACCATCTCACTACTGTATTGGGATATCAATGTATCAGTATATTTTTAGGAATATACTGTAAAGAATTCCAACAAGTGCTCTTTATGTTCTTTTGTTTGGCAAGTGACATTGCCCTCTCTCTGTGGTTAGGACAGCAAATTAACAGACACCCTAAAGAATGTAACAGTCCAGCCAAACCTAGAAAAAGCCACTTTTAACACCAGCAGCTTTGCCAACTACCATTCAGCTTCCAACATCCTCTTCCGTGGCAATATCTTTTTGAAGGTGGTGGCACCCGAAAGCTAACAGCACATATCCCTTGCCAGCAGCCTGGTTCCATGACATACAGGCAGTACAATGTAATATGACAGAAGAACAAACCCTCACGGCACTACCAGTCCACATGCTCCTGGCCTGGGATAGAAAACAAACTTCAGAGTGGATATCCTCTGGAGTTCTGACAGAAGTGACTGTCTGGCTCTAATAATAAGAATCATGTGAAGTTTAGTAAGAAAGAACAGGATAGTAGTCCTTTTCCTAGATCAGCTGAATGGAGTGAAACTGCCTCTCATTCTCCTGCATAGCCCTAGAAGTCCTGTATTCTGCTGTCTCACAAACCTCAGCACTAAACATCTCAACTAAACCTTGCTGGTTTAACTTCCAAGACAGTATCACACAGGCAAGAAGGCCATGTATGCTCCGGCAGATGACATTCAGTTACGCCTCTGTCTCTGTTTAAATGAAGGGTTTCAAGTGAAGCAAGGTACAGCTTCCATTTTCTGTCCACATATGGCAGCAGATAAAGGAGTAATACTGGCAGCAGTGAGTCCAAATTACGACAAAATGTTAAGCTCTTATTTTTAAGCAGGACATTTCATGATGCAATTAGCAATATATTTCTACGCTTTCCATGTCCCTCCATCTTCTGAGACACTAGAGTTTGTCCAACATTAGGTATTGAACCCCAAGTCTGTCTAAGAAAGCCTACATGGCTTGTCTGCTGCCCTCCCCAGGCCTCTGTTGTTGGTAGCAAGATTACTCCTTGCTAGACTTAAGACTGAGGGCTGGAGAGACTGGACTCACTACAGGATGTGATCCTCACTAGTAAAATATGTACTTCTACCTTCCCGTCCAAATGTTAAATGGTACTTTAAAAACAGAATTTTAAAATATATTGAAGGTAAGTTTCCAGACCCTGCCTTCAGCTTCCCGAATGCAGCAGCTACAAAGGATCCTCCAAAATGACAAGGGATAGGATAATGCATTTGGCTTTTCTTGCACTCACAAACAGAGATACTCTAAAACAAAATTAAATGCTCTACAGCTAAATGCTCCAAGTTTCAAAAAACTGTAATTATCCACAAGGAAATTTTTCAGACTTGTTTTAGGTGTAAATTTGCCACATTTGGTTTTTAAACCACTATTCTATATAACTTATGGCATACATTTAACAGAAAAATAAAAATCTTTTCTTAACATCACACACAGTTTGAAAAGAAACAGCATCCAAGTCTCCAAGCAAAAATATCAAGCCTACCTCTCTTCTTGAAGGAAAAAAAATCACTTGAAAAAGAGCTTGTAATTATGTTGTTTGACTTTTTTGCCCTCTTATCTCTAAAATATATCTCCAATCTTCAAGTGTATGTATCTGGGGTTTATATTACAGGAATATGATGATCTATGATGGTTCTCCCCCTTTTGGGTATTCACATGCAACACACATGATATATTTCACAAGTAGAGTCTACTTTGATTGCATGCATAGTATAAAACTGTACAGCCACGAGGAAGGTTGTTTTCCATAATGTTTGAACAGAACCAGAAAATAACCCTGTATAGGTAATAGCCGAGCATCACACAATTACTTCCTGGTCAGACTATAGTTCATTTTGCATTTAGAAAAACAGTAAACTCAGTTAGTTGCAGCTTATTTCAGATACACACATCTTCTGAGAGCTAAAATGAGAAGATATAGCATGATGGTGGTGGTAGGCATCACTCCTTTCTCATTAAGAAGTAATAGTGTGTCTGTCACATGTGTTTGTTTTACTCTGATAAAATTTATCACATAGCAAAGATTTACAAGATTTACTAGCAAAACCCAATTGATGAGAAGGATAATTTCATGAAAATGCAAAGAAACTTTTGTCTAAACAGACTGGAATGATGAAGTCTGGGTTTGATTTTCTCTTGAATTTTTAAGAGAATCATTGAAAGGACCATTTACTAAGACATCTCTCTCAAAGAAATTCTAGCTGTCACTACTGTAACCCATTAAAATGTTCAAAAACTGTTCTGAGCTGATACAAAAATTATTTTTAAATTAACATATTTGCATTCTATAAAGTACATGTAAAAAGTAAAAAAAAAATGGTAGCTCACATCACAGATTTTAGAAGTAGGTCAATTGTATTTTGTCTGAGAGATAAGAAAAATTGAATCATTTGAAGACTTTTATAAAATTAAAGTTATTTGGGATCTTGTCTCCTTACTTCTCTACCCATCCCCAACTGGAAAATTCTAAAAACCATGAAATTAAAGAAAAATTCCTTAGATTAAATGAATGTTGATGAAACTGCAACTGAGGCACTGCCCGTTTAAAAGAACTAAAATAGTTATAGCTCGTCTTGATTAGAAATACTTACCAGTGCAAAACAGGTTGCTGACCAATTATGCTCCCTTTAGCTATTAACAATAGCATCTGTGTTCTCAAACAATCTTAGATGTACATGTTCTGAAACCTATATTTACCTGGTGGATTCTTGGCAGGATCGTTGTGGCTTGGACTTCCTGGTTGTCCAGAGTCTATAAAGAAATTAAAGAAAAGTTTTAATAATTTGTTTTGCAAGTATCTCAAAATCTTTTAATGCTCTCCTTCATTATTCAACTAATACTTTACTTTATTCTGTAAAGGTCATTTCCCTGACTTTCTATGTGAAGCATTATTGAACAAACACACTATATATAACCTGTTTTATGCAAAACAGAAACATTGTGAAAGATGTAATGATCCTAATAAGAGGAACTCATAGATCACTGAATAAGGACAAGAGAGTCGTTGAGGTAAATACTCAAGTTGTAAACACATTTACAAGGTACCTTTTCATTCCCTTTCCCTCCATTCCCTAAATATAATATTGCATAATCAGCAAAGGAGAGGTAGCTTATTCTCAGGCAATGACCAGAAAGTTGTAATGGATCACGCAACTAGTGGCACTTCTAGTGATAGGTCCTGTTTCTTTAGCCTTTCCTTAAAGCACAAAGACCTACGCTGCTTTCACAGACTTATGACTGCACTGAGGATATGACAGTATGTTTAAATACAATATAGGCTTTGTGTTCCTAGCCTGTGAGAACTGCTGTTGTGAAATTAAATTATGTAACATAAAAACTAATAAAATTCAAACCCTGTAGACCCCAAAGAGTGGGTTTTTTTTCATACTGTATGCACCGAATGAATCAAGAGAATGCAATTTCATGTTAATACACTAAATGGTGATATCCTTATTCATGAAAGCAATTGCTTTCAAAACCATCTACTTTTCACTGTATTCCCATATTAATAATATAACAAGAATTGCTCCGTAAAAAAGATAGAAAAGAAGAACAGAACATATTAACAAATATGTCCTTAAATTCCTATTACTTCTTCTTCTTCTTCTTAAAGCTATTGTAGCCCACAACCTAGAATGAGAGATTCTCTTTGCCTGCTATGTGAGGTTCCTTGAAATCTGTGCCACCTGTTATGAAGCTTAATAAACATGGTTTGACTCATATGTGTCTCTTGTACACAATAAAATACACATTAAATAGTGAATTTCACATGAAATTTCATCTATCTTCATCAGTTTCAGGCAGGAAGCATGAAGGGCAAGTCTTCGGATCAGATACTGCACTTCCATAGTTTGGGCACTCCTAGGAGTGCAATTGTACAGCACAGTATGTAGCCATTCAGTATGTCTGTTTCTTCTCATGATAAGATACAGCACAACCCTTTAAAATACCAAGTCAGTTTGTAAACTTAATCACCTACAAGAAATGCCAAAAATATATTTCCCTGCATATGAACTTTTCTATGGACTGCCGTTCTTCTTGCTGGTGTTACAATGGGAATGTTCACCCTGCAGGGGGTAAACTGTAATGTTCTTCTAATAGGCATTCTCTGCTTCTGCAAACCATACATACTTAAATTCAGATTATCAGAGAGAATTATTTTACATAGCAATGGTTGGAGTGTAAAACTACTACAGATGTGTAGCTAAAGGAGTGTCAGTTTGGTAGTAGATGCATTCAATAACACTCGAACAGCATAGCCTGGGAATCACAGAGATTTGAAACTGAATTAGGCCTACTAGAAAATAACCTTTGAAGTTTTCCCCTGTTAAAATTCACTATAAAGAAGCACAAAGGAAAGTGATTTTTTAGCTCTTGCACAGCAATTTGCCTTTACTCCTACTATCTGGATCCAGGATTTAAAGACTGATGGTAGTTTAAACAATCGGTTTTCATATTATAATACGAAACTTTGCAAAGAATTTTCCAGTATAGGGACAATATATAGTTATTATAATTTTTCAGTAAGACTTAGCTTTGGTTTATGTTAACTACTTATTTTTCATGATTTTTACAGATTGATTCTCAATCTGTGTTTGAGCAGTAGATGTTACTAACACATTCACCAGTGAGGTCTCAATGATTTTGAGAAAGAAAACAATTACTGCAGATGAATATGAGAAGTAACTTCTTCAATTATTCACTTTGCACAGTCGAAAAAGCAAAAAATTTTATTCTGCATGAGAGCATCAACCTATGTAACTCTGCACTTAAACACAGAGAAGCCTCTGATCCTCAGGACGAAAGATACAGCCCTGAGATGGCCTGTGATGATCCAATTCTCTTACCAGTGTCAGCAATTATAAAGCACTCCCCTGTTTTGATTAGATGCAAATAGCTTTGCAAAAGACATGAGAACCATGACCATTATAGGATTAAATTATATGAATAACTTAATTTATAAGCAGAACAGAGAGACATTGGAGCAATGTTCTTCTAAAAGTGGGACCAAGAGGCATTTTTGGAAAGCCACAGAAACTAAGGAATTAAAAACCATATTAAGAAACTTTAAATCTTTTTGTCCTCATCTGTACAATATCATTAATGAACAACATGAACCCTTTCTTCCAGAGTGATGGAGAAAGACATAAGCCAGACTCATTGTCTGTCTAGTTCACTTTGTATTCAATTGTCCCAGCAAATAACTCTGTGAAAATTCAACAACAACAACAAAAAACACACCCCCAAAAAAAACCATGGAAACCAAACCACTTCCTAAGCTAGAAGTTGTAAGAAAAGATACACAACAAGAAGCAAGTAAAATCCCACCACGTTTATGCAACAAAACTGAACTTTTTAAGATTTTCATTTATGTAGCTTCTGGCTGTAAGTTCCCTTAGTTTTTTGCTGTTCTTGTTGTTACTACAGAGCAAACCTCAGCTACACATACCATTTCCACCAAATGCACCTCACAACTACAGTAAGCATATCTTCTGCTATGCTTTTCTTGGTGCTGACTGATCCAGAAACTAATGCCTCAATAATTTTTTGCCCCATGGATGAACAGTTTATATGAAGTAGTTTCAAGCCAGACTTTAGTCTTACTTTGTCATGTAACCCAGTACACTTTAAGTATAATTTATCACAAATTAGCAGGGCGATCACCAAGAAATTCAAACTCTATCTCAAATTACTCTTGCTTCTAGGAGACAGAATGAAAGATGAGTAAAGAAGCTGATAAATTTTATACTTATTTCCCCATGTTTTCATTTTTAGGCATCAAATACAATGAGCATCTGTGAGTGCAGACAACTCTCAGTGCAGCCAGAGTTGCTGAGGCCTGCTGGAATTAAGAAGATAAGCATCCGTTTCCCCTGCAGTACACTAGGAAAGGTGCTGCCATGAGACATCACTCCTGGCTTCCTAAGATAGAAAGGAAAAAACAAGGTCGATGGCTTGCCATCCAGGGAGGGACAAGACCTTCTCTCCCACTGCACCACCTTGTCTTTGACAAGCAGGAAGGACACCCTTCCCAGCAAGCCAAGAAAGTCACATTGCTGTTCACCAGCTTCCTGAGGGATTTTCGGTATTCCTCACCCCCATAGTCTAATCTTACACTTTTCAGCTGATAAAAGATACTCTCTTTAAAAATGAAGCTACACTATGCCTTTCTTATGCCCTAAGGCTCTGTGTAACAACACAACACTGAAGGCCTTGAAAGCAAATAGCATCAGAATCTATAAAAAGAAAAAATACTTTGTTAAGCCACGTTTCAGAGAAATGAAAGTAAACTGTCCCCAGGTGTCACACTAATCAAGTAAACTTACTCAGTGGTTTCGATGAACATATTTCTCTTTTCTATTTACCACGGGCTATGAGACAGCCTTTGTACTCAGTTCATCCCAGTTGACAGACACTAATTTAATCATTCACCAACAGGTAAATACATTCTTGCTCTTGGATAGTCCATGATTTTGGCATGGGGGATAAAGGACCAGAGGGATATGGCGCCATATAAGTATAGTTTTGATGCTGTTTAAGCCTTCACATACCTATACAGCACTTGATTTTACAGCTGAGTCCCAATCATGAACAAAAATCACAACTGCCTTCCAGACTGTCATCCCTAAGGATTATTTTGCTATCCGGCATGAAAAGCTTAAGGTAAATGGTTGTATCCCAGAAAATCAAAGGATCACAGGCCACCATAGTGTGCTAGGGATCTGGGAATGTCTGCAGTCCCAGCCCTTGCCCTGAGAAGGCTCAAGCACAGAATTAAACTCAGGTGATCAAGGCTTTACAAAGTCAAGGCATGAAAGCCTTCAGGGGTGGAGACAGCCCAACCTCCCTGGGGAAAAGACATTCCTAGTCAACTTTCTATATTTCAAAGACTTTCAGTAGTTTGTCATGGTAGAAAAGCATCCATGGCAAAAAAATAGTAAGGTATTTCCCTCTCCTCCAAAGCAAATAACATGAATAAAAAAAGTCCATAAAACAAATAAATAAATAATTTCATCTATGTACTTTAAATCATTACCTTTAAAAATTATTGTCCTAATTTTACTGCATACTTGCCTTCTACTATCTACTTTCTTTATCTTGACAAAGTAACTGACTGGATTGACAAACTTCTCAAAGACTTATATCAATTTAATTTTGCAAAAGTTGTGTCTTTCATTGTATAGTGTTTCTCCATCTGACAATCCTGAATTACTGTACAATTTTATGACCATTATTCACACCAACTCTAGTGATACAACAGTTAATTTATGGTGTAAACAAGATCAAAGTGTTTTATTGCATTACATATCCACTGAAATGCTCAGTGAAATGCTATAAACGTGGAAATGGAGGGGTCCAAGTGTCAGGCTTGTTTTCATAAATATGTTAGTTAGAGGGGGATATATTTTTCACATTTTCATAAACCACTACACTTCACTGAAATACTTCCCCTGAAAATTTTGGCTGTTCTATAAAATTCTCACCCTCACCACTTTCTTTGGTAGACCACAGGTCTTATGAGGATAGGCTGTAGGAGTTAGTAGAAAAGGAGTCTGATATTAAGAAAAAAATTCTTCAACCAAAGGGTGGTGAAATATTGGAATGAGCTGCCCAAGGAAGTTATGAAGGTACCTTCCCTGAAAGTATTTCATAGGCCTGTAGATAGGGTGCTTAGGGACATAGTTTAGTGGAGGACTTGGTAGTGTTAGGTTTACGGTTGACCTAATGATTTTAAAGGTCTTTTCCAACCT